GGGGGGTATATTTCTTTGTTTTTATGTACTGGAAAAGAAAATGGTCAAATATTTGAGTGTTGAGTGTTCATTATCAGACACAGAATTATTTTAGGAATTTTTAACATCTCTCCAAGTGTTACAAATTAATATGTGGTGAATCTCAGAGCCCCAGAGACTCATTTGGTGTCTTATGTGCACGAAATAGCCTGTTAATGCTACAGAGAAACAAAGATTGAGTCAATTTGCTGTGAAATGATTATATTATGACTCTGCTAATTACTCCAACACCATCTTCCATTACTGTGATTTATGGTGTTAAAAGATGAGGAACACAGACTCCAGGTGTTTGATGTTGCTTGTTGAATTCTCAGTATTTTGGAGCAAACCCGCTGGGAAAGGTTTGTTTTCAGATGGAGACTGTGCTGAAATGTTTTTATAGTTTTTATAAGGGATTTTTTATTGTTTTTTTTATATATATATTCTTCAGTTATCAGCACAAGAACAAATTGAAATTCCTAAAGCTGTTGTTTTCATGTGTGATGTATAAATACATTTTGATCTGATACAACAGCTTTATATTCCATCATGCAAACAAGCAGGAACTAAGCAAACAGTGTTATGTGTTGCTCAGGAGACAACGAGGGGAATAAATCAGTAAATGAAGTGGTATTTGTGACTTAACTGAGCCAATAAACTCAGATGTGCATTAACTCTCCCGCAAATTAGGCACAATCTAATTAAAAGATCATTGATTTTCWTCAGTTTGTACTGCTGTTAAATGCCTAGCATTCCTTTACAACATGCATAAGGCCACTGCCTTTTATTCCCAAGATTGAAACTAAGATTATACAATGTGAGATGATAAAATTGTAGTCATTTTGATCAAGCCTTGAAAAAAAATGTATAAGATTTCTTGATATGGGTATACATTATAAATACTCGCAGCTACTCCAATTTTAGCTCAAATCTGTAAAACTGACTGAAAATAAATTGGCTTTGGAAACCAACATATACATRTTATTTGAGACCAATTAAAATGGTACATGTTGCAATCAACTTTTCTACAACTTCAAGTTGGAGAAATAAAGTTTAATTCTGACATGACTGATAAGCTAATGGCTAGTCCAAGCAGGGATAATACTAAAGTGGATTGATCTTGTCTTAAAACATAGCAATTCATGCAAACACTAGTTTATTAACCTTAACATCTTCAGTAGTATTATCACATTGTATTGCCAGTAGAAATGTCATGATATTTATGCTGGAAAATGTTATAGAAAATGACTATTGCTATTTGAGCCCACAATTTATCTTATAATTCTCTTTAATATAAATATAAATATTTGTGTAATGTACAACTGATTGGGGTGTGAATATTTATTAAATAGCACTGGCACAAAATACTTTGAAGTTTTTGAAATTTGAGTTAAGGGGGTGTATTTATGCAAAATGACTTTTTTTGGGCTTAATGTCACGTTTTGATGTCATTCCCTCATCAAAAAACACATTCAGAGTGTGGCTTTGACTCATTCATGCACGTTTAAGAAATCCTTGTATCTCCTGTGGGAGCCATATGGAGCTATCTAAACAATTACTGGTACAAAGCACCGCCTATTTGTACATAGCTCCTCTCTAGAGCTCAGTCTGCAGCCCAGCTCCCGCCCCACAGAGCACCCCTCCCCTAAAGAACAGCTGTGAAGACATGCTGAAGTGGGAATGTGGGAAATGGTAGGAGGCTCTTAAAAAGACACAGGCTGATAACAAGGTGTTAGAGTATGATATAAAGTCAAATAAATTTTTGATATACACCTAAAGGCAACATAGAATTCAAATATATGCCTGGAAAATACATAATACACCCCCACACCCTGCTTAATGGCCAATTCAGTCAGAATTAAACTATTTTTCTCTAAATGTTGTTCATAACCCAGCAGAACTATGGTTTTAATCTAATTTTACTTGATCTTTCTGAAGGCACAGAACGGAGCATGTCAAGTGTCTGTGGAGCGACCACAGCAGGGAGCAGCTCATTGTTTGTCAGCACCCAGACTGCAGCCTCCTCACATCAGAAAAAAGACGGCAGCACCTCCCCAGCAGGCTGTAAGTAGCCTCACAATCACAGAAATAGTTTTTGTGTTGTTGTCAGAGACACTGCAACCTTTCGCACGTGATACGTCCTCACCTGGATGTCTTGCTGAGTCCTCTGTTTTCAGCTGAGCCAGAAACCTCTGTCTGACAATAAAGTATGAACGTCTGACCATGCCATTTTGCATTTCAGACGTTTTATCAAGCTTCTTAAACAAAGTGAATGCTCACATTTTTAGCTTTGTTTTTTGAGTTTTTACAGTAGCTGCCTCTAAATTAGACACATCAGAGGCCTATTAAGCTGCCATGTCTCTTATTAGGTGAACTTGTGCTGTTTTGATGTGTTATTTTCTGTTTTTCATTAGGAGAGAACAAACGAAGTGGATTTTTACACCTTCATTTTGCAGGCAGGAGGTATGGTGCAGTAATTCTACATTATAAATAATTGTCTTTTTGATTAGCTCTTTAATAAAATTCTATAATTGCCTTTGGAAATTTAATTAACAATTTAATGATTTCCTAAAGTCTGAGAAGGCACTGGCATTAGTACGACTAATTCAAAAGTCACTGCTTTTAAGATGGTCTTTGTTTATTCTTTCAGAAACCACCGTCAGACCTACCTCAGACCCCTCTCTGGATTGCCCCAGTCCAGACTTTTCTCCTCCTTTGCATTCTCCATCACCTCTCCATTTCCTGATGTCTCCCCCAGACCCTCCCAGCTGCGACACCAGTAAGTTGGCTGACGCCACAGAARAGAAAGAGCACCTAAGATGTTCTGCAGATGGACGCCTGGAGGACTTTCTGGAAAGCACCACCGGGAAGCCTCTCCTGGGCGTGGAGCCAGGTGGCATGTTGACGCTGATCGATGACCTCCACAGCCAACTTCTCTGCACTCCCAGCATCGTGGACAACCCCGCAGCACCCATGGGAGAAGAGGAGGAGCTAGGGCTGGACAGTACTGACTGGTTGRGTCTCACCATGGGAAGGGAGAAAGAWGAAGGAAGTGCCACTCTGGCTCCTCTGGCTCCTGAAACACCCCTCAGTGTCTTCTCTGCAGACTTCCTGGATAGCTCTGACCTGCACACACACTGGGACTCCAGCTTATAATTTGCAGCAAACCACAGAGCTGCACACATGCAGYATGCTGTTGGAGTAGGTTTTAAAGYAGATTTGGACAAGTTTAATGGCAGTATTACTCTCAGCATTGTTAGGACAGGAACATTCCAGGCTCATAGCCTCGAATGTTTTCTGAATAACTTCCATCTTGTATCATAAATGAGATGACAGTTTGATATGTTTGTCCTGAAAACACAAACAGACGAAAGCCTGGCTCACACTATAACATTTTAGAGCTGTTGCCTCYCAGCAAGAAGGTTGCTGGATCAAATCCTGGCCGGGGACTTTTCTGCRTGGARTTTGCATGTTCTCTCTGTGCATGCATGGGTTTTCTCTGGATACTCTGGTTTCTTCCCACAGACCAAAAACCCGACTGTTAGGTTAATTAATAACTAAATTGTCCCTAGGTGTGAGTGAGAGAGTGAATGGATGGTTGTCTCTACGTGGCCCTGTGATGGACTTGTGACCTGTCCAGGGTTTACCCCGCCCCTCGCACTGTGACTGCTGAATATGGGCACCAGTGACCCACGCAACCCTGAAAGGAAGTAGCGGTTAAAATATACAGGATAGATTTTCAAAGACTGAGAGAACCCACACGWTGATACAAAAATCATAGATATAACAGGTTTGGTCTTGTAGTGTGTGGTGTACAGCCACACTGGCAAATACAACACACCACACACAAACAGATTTCACTCACCAACATTCAGATGTTGGACGGGAAATCTGTCGAGCTCAAACGTGAGCTCTGAGTAATWAACTGGGCCAACGAGTAGGAATAAATGGAGTTTGCGAACTAGTTTAAACAGAGATTAAACAAAACGAAAAGACATTTCCAACGTCTATCAAACTTTCTGGTGGTGCATGGCAGTTGTTTTGTCGTCTGTATTTTAGAACCTCCTCGGTGTTTCAGTCACCTCACTTTCTGACTGGCTACATTCAACAGGCTGTGAGCTCATTTGTCATCAGGGAACACTACAAACCCTGGGATATAGGGACAAGACCATCCAACACGTTGAAAATCTCTGATTTGACTTTGGAACGGTCCTGAYGTCCTTCTGAGTCAACTAAATCACTCTTAGCACACCCCACACGGCAGGAATATCTCATAAGATTATCTTCAGAGCCATCACAATACTCAGGGTAACCACAGTTGGAAGGGCATATAAAACATTAGCACTTTTATCTTGTGTGAACCAGGCATTATTTATACGTTCTGTGTATTTGAAACAAGCACAAATAGCTTTGAAACTTCTGAACTGGTGAGAGTCTGTGCCAAGCATGTGAGCAAACTGTTACACCTGTACTACCTTTAGATGGTTAAATGATTGGAGAATGTGTGGGCACACATAGTGTTATGGTATGTGAGCATGGAGAAAAATGGAAGCTGTTTTCCTTTTAACTGGTACAAAGCACCAATCTTTATAGATAAAATAAAGTGGAGGTATGATATGATGGAGGTACATTTGGACCAGCACCTGTCACCAACATGGTGACAGAAATGCTGTTTATTCTTTGAAATGCACAACTGTTCTTGCAGTTCCCCTTTTAACTAGTAGGCGTAGCTATAAAGAAATTAAGACAGCCGCACAACAGGAAGGGCAGCAGAAGTACAGTTCTTATAAATCAACTTAACTACATTTTCAACTTATTTACGCACAGTCAAGATTAAATCCACAGAAAAATATTCAAAGCAACACTATTGCTACTTTTAGATATCTCAGTATCCCCTATAACCGTTTTATCGCCTGACCCTAATCCCTGCATCATTTCTCACKCTGACATTGTCAGTTGTGAAGCACTCTCTGAGAGCAGAAATAATTTTAAGCTCCATTCTTGCTTCTTTAATGTGTCTGATCAGACTTGAGAGGGACTCAATGGAGTCTCTCGCTGAGGAGAAAGACTTTAAGTGGAGCAAAAAAAAATGTGTCCATAACTTCTAAGAGTAAAGGAGCAAACGTGGGGCACGTTTTCAGGCAGGACAATGTTCATGATCTTTACTTCAGACTCCTCAGCTCCTCGAAACATTTGACAAGCTTCCTACATTGTATAAAAAGGGATAGAGTGTGAACTTAGCTGATCACATTTCAAAGAGTTGATGTTAAATCAGAGGTGTAACAAAGTACTTTTGTTTTATTACAGTACTTCAAAAGGGTGGCATTTTGGAGCTTTATATCCTGTTATAAAGTCATTCCCTCGTCACAAATATACCCTGAATGTTGCTTTGACTCATTCATGCATGTTTGAGAAATCTTTGAATCTCCTGTGGTTGCCTTGTGGGAGCTCGGTCTGCAGCCGAGCTCCCACCCTTCAGAGCTCCCCTCCCCAAATGCACTGTTGTGAGGACGTGCTGWATGGGGAGTGTCAGAAATAGTAGGAGGTTCTTAGAGAGACAAAGGCCGATTTCAATGAAGCTATCTGAATCTAAGTTTGCAGTTTGGTTTTCTTTTTATTTACTTGAACTTGCACACTTCGCTACAGATTTTCTGATGGTTTGTCCTTATATACTGTATGTATGTATATATGTATAGTATGATTTTTTTATTATAAATTTTTTAAATTTATTATAAAGTTTGTTCATTTAAAACAAACAACATAAATTTGTTATACAACAAAAAATCAAATTAAATGAAAGATAGCAGAAGAAGAAAAGAATCGATTGATGATTGCCAGCATATTTTAGTTGCTTTAGTTTTCAAACTGTAGTTTATGTTACTTTCAAAAAGAAACTCCTGCAGGCTGATAGATTATTCTGTTATACCTCAGTTTGATTAAATCCTGTCAACGAAAAACAGTTTTTTGGTTGYAATTATTAGTCTATCTGTACTGTATCAGTGCTTTGGTTATTATTCATAAACTTGAACATTTTGTGTTTTTTAACAAAAAAATGTCAACACTGAACCTGTATAACAGGAGATGTTTGTTATTTTTTGTTCACTTTTACAGTATTTTTGGTGTAGAACTTGTGTTTTCTGTKATGCCAACGGATATGACTTAGTTTGTCTTTTAAGGTTCCTCTGCGGGAAACTGCTTTATTGTTTTTTTTTAATTTATTTGTTTTGGCAGCTACTTTCTGTCTGCTAAAAAACAAACTGTAAATTAAACAAATTATCTATAGAAAGAACACATGCTGTAAACAAAAATTTAGTTACAATAAAATAATTTAAGTTAAAGTATGATTACTTTCTTTTTAATAMACCTCAGCAAGAAATAAAGTTCTTCAAGAAGTAAATTTATTCTTGAATACATATATATTTAAACCATCAGAGTATTACCTTTTGGAGTCACCTCATTGTGGTGACCCCTGCAGAAGGGAACATTTGAAAAAAAATTAAAAACAACAATATTACTGTGCCTGGTCTTGTGTTAGTTTCTCATTTATGTTTGTCAAGACCTCTTTAAATTCTTTGTCTTGTCTCATGTTCACTATCAGTCCATTGTGCTTTCCATATCCAGTCTTGTTTTCTCCCTGTGTGTTCTACTCAATTTATCTTTGGTATCATTTTCTGCTGCCTCATCAGCACCATCAGTTTTGTTTTAGAAAAGAGATAAGATAAGATAAAATTTTATTGATCCCACATTTGCACATTACTGCAGCTCTATAGAGAAGAGGGTGAGAAGAATAAAAATAAATAAATAAAAAAAGAATCAGCTTTATTTTTGAGCTCTCTGTGCCTGCCTGCTTCCTGAGTTCAACATGCTATAGACCAGACATAAACGTTCCTTTATAAACCTTTAATCCTATTGGTCAACATCARTTTTACAGTGGTGGGGTGGAGTGTCTACGTCAGAGGACCCAATCACAGGACCTACACATCATAAAGAAGTGGCGACTTATAACAAATGAGAATGCAGGGTTTCGTCTTTCGACACTCAAAGAAAACCGAGTGTTTAGGTTTAAATGTCATCCATTTTGAAGAGGGATTTGATTATATTAGCCTTTTTGCCTCAAAGAAAATAAACAGCAAGATGACCATATTAAAAGTGCGGCTTTAGTAGATGTTAGGAGATCTTCAAGACCAAACATACAAACTTTAGTTTAGTTTTTTAACTTTTAAGCAGACGTTAATAGTAAGCTTGTTTATCAAACAAAAATTGTCACTTAAACAATCATTAAAATCAAATGTTCTAAAGTTTCTTAACTTGCTAAAATATATATGTGAATATAACATTATTACTYATATCAAAGAAACAGCTGTTAAATCGTGAAATAACAGCACATCTTTTGTTTAAAAGACCTAAGATTATAAAYCTTGATAAACACAATAAAGTTTTAAAGGAAAGTTTGTATGTGGCATGATTATAACAATTAAAGAAGACTTAGTTGGTCTCACGTACACATCTTTGATCTGAAAGTAAAAACATGGTTAATCCCATTTCTTTTGCAGAATAAAACAGATTTKTCAAGCAAGTCACAGTGAAAGAATTTTATAGTTCTTCTGAGGGAAAACAGTTCTTAGGGAGCTAGTTTCTCAGAGTGAAAACTGTCAGGAAAATCAACAGTTTGTGACAGCTTTGGTCCTATGGAGGAGTCAGGAAGTCTGGGGGTTGATTTAGGTGACTAAARTGGGAGTTGGTATCCTCTCGTACCAGTGTTTTTTCACTGATATGGAACAGTAGATGTTGGAGGTTTGAGACTTGTTATTTGCTTGTTTTCATGTTATTCCAGTTGAGGTGACCCCAACAAAGGAGAGAGTTTTTTTTCAAGGAATGCAGGAGAGGGTCCTGAGCGAGGATAGGTAGACCCTACAGCAATGATAACAGAAACCAGTTCAACAATGTTTTCTCAACCACTGTACAAAGCAACACACACAGGCACAAACCTGTAACGTATAATCATTCATGTGGTCAAAATGAAAAGATAATGGTGGTACATCTCCACTGTCTTTCCACCTAATGGAGCTAGCCTAAACGATGATAAAGGTCTATGCTGTGATGAGTCATTACAAGCAAATGCACTTAAAAAAAGATTGTGCTGAGTTTGTGCTTCATTTYGTACTTTTTATTCAAGCAAAATTATATCTTCTCTGAGTATGTTTATGAGAGATATTTTTTAAAAGTCAGACCCAAATAAACTTTTATGTGATCCCATTTTCCCTAGCATATACACACACGATTGGTGCCTAGGCAAGACGCAAGCCCATACACAGACACACATAAGTTAATTAACACACACACCTATTGACACACATAAAAATCCAAGCATTTTTAATGTTGAACAGAGCTCAGAGGGAGTTTTGCTGCCTGAAGTGTTCAGTGGATGCTTTGATGCATCAGCACTGCAGCAGGAGGTCTGTTTGTGATTAAAACGTGTGCTAACACAAAGAGACAAGTATCTGTGCTCAAATATACACAAAAACAGACTTTTTAAAATAG